TTTGTTCATCTTGTTAGAACCCAAGGGGCAGGCGGTAAGTTGGTTATCGCTAAAGTGGCTTATACTAGGTGTGTTCGTTCATACCTTGGAGGCGTTTGCTCATCTGCGTGATCTCCATAGAGTGTTCCCCAACTGGTGTTTGCCTCGGTGTTCACTCCTCGTGCGCATGGAACTGTAGTTCTGATGTCATCTTCTACTTTGGGGAAGTCGGCAGGACTCGATGTTGGTGTGTCATCTTGTACCACCACATTACTTATGCCCGGCGCAGTAGTATCTACCTTTAATCCACCACAAGCTGACTTATTATCCGGTTAAAGGTAGTAACCGATTGATCATAAGGTGGTCGATTAGTCATATACTAACAGTTCGGATAAATGGGTCAGTGGGCACGAAAAAAACCTTTTGAGATCACGTAAGTGAACACCGAAGTAGAAGGTAATTGCGTTAAATCCATCTCATCATACACACTCACGGCAACTCTCAGTTTAGTGGTCAACTATAATTCGTGCACCAGCGTGCGTGGGTCTGGTGCCTTGTTCGACACTAACAAAAAGTGATATACAATGACAAGGAAAAATTAACAATGATAATTCAAATGGAATAAACAAGAACTAGAATAGCCAAACAAGATCGGTTTCTTAACGTCTTCAGTGCGGCATGGATATTTTGCTGGTTCACACCGTGACATGGAAGTCAACAGAGTGTTAGAAACCCTTCGCTCAATCGATATGCCTGATCCCATCCGTTCTGCAAATCACTGGGGTTTTGAAAAACCGCGTAGGTGCAGGCGACCTCACAATATAACCGGTCGTAGCGCGACTGGTGGTGGTCGCGTGGCAACGAAGCGTCGTATCATCATCATCATCAACAGCAGTACATCAGCTATTTGAACTGATGCTTCGCTGCCATACAACCATGAGGACCTATGAAATAAAGAATAAGAAGAGGGAGAGAAGGGGGACTTACCTGAAAACCTTAATGCCCTAAGCAAACATTCAGGGTCAAGGCGCCTACACCTTGTGTAGACAACATACCGTCACAAACAGCTGGCTATCGTGCAAAGATAAGGCGGCATCGGCGAGACAGCTTCCTTGCGGCTTTCATTGCCCCGCGTCATAATCAGCCATTACCCCGCAGATAACTCAGCACCAAACAAACTTTAAACAGACAATCCGATTAGGAGACGGCAGCAGACGCGCCACTGGTGTCTACTGCGAGCCATGTCCTGTAAAGTCTCGAGCCAAGCACAAGGTGAGTCCCGTGGACTCCAACCCGGAAGGCGAGACGGGCCAACGGCACCCAGTTTGGTCGTCAGTGACTTCATTTCCCGCTGCCAAGTCAACTTCTGTCCACCACGAGCCTTGCGCCATCCTACACCTGGTAGACTAAACAAGGCCCTCCTAGGTAAGCGGTGACCAGGCATGCGTAGCACGTGCCCGAGCCAACGCAACTTATTCAGTGCTGTCTGTTGTTCTAGGGAGCTAGCATGATTATCACCACCTAGTACTCGCCTACGCACATCATCGTTGCGGACACGTTGGTGCCATCCGACACCAGCAATGCAACGATGGTCAAAAACTTGAAGGCGCCTCAGATCTTCAGACCGAAGGGGCCAAGTTTCACTAGCATAGAGCAGAACGGCCCTCACTGTGGCCTTGTATACACGGCCTTTCAGACGGAGGGAAACTCCTTTCTGTCGCCAAAGATGACGCAGGTTCAAGAAGGCAGCTCTGGCCTTTGCAATGCTTGAGCTCACGTCAGTTTCTATGCGCCCATCATTGCTGATGCAGCTGCCAAGATAAGTGAATTGATCAACCACCTCGAGTTCCTCGTTAGCAAGCGTCAAGGGGTCATCAAGTGGCTGGTGGTCCTGCAGCAACACTTTGTACTTTGAAGGTGCGAAGTGCATACCAAATAATGGGACCACTCTGGATAGGCAATTCAGGGTTGATTGTGCCGCCTCAACATTATCAAAAAGCAAGACGATGTCGTCCGCATAATCTAGATCAACTAACCTTTCACCAGGCAGCACTTCAACGTCTACATCGTGAGATTCCGCAAGGGAACACTCCATGATAGAATCCACGACGAAATTGAACAAAAACGGGGAAATCGGACAACCCTGACGAACGCCACTTGTAGTTGAAAAGCTATCCGACAGGACACCGTAGACCCTGACGCGGCCTGTAGTGTTCGAGTATAGAGCACGAAGGATGTTCACATATTTCGTGGGAACACCTTTTCGCGCAAGTAATTCGAACAGAATCGATCGATCGACCGAATCGAACGCACTCTTGAAATCGAGGAACACAGCTATTGTCGGTCTGCGGTATGCGTGGCGCTGCTCTAGCACCTGCCGCAAAGTGAACATATGGTCTATACAGCCACGTCCTGGGCGAAAACCGGCCTGCTCTTCCCTAATCCGAGATTCCCGTTCTGCAGTGAGACGACGAACGAGAATCGAAGCCAGTAACTTTGTCACAACTGGCGTTAGGCTAATACCCCTGTGGTTAGAACAGTCGGTGCGACCGCCCTTTTTGTACATTGCCACTATAATTGAATCGCTCCAGTTTGCCGGCACACTCTCTTCGTTCCAGATACGTTCGAATAGGGAGGTCAGCGCTTTGCAGAGGACCTCACCTCCATCTTTAAATAGTGCAGGTGGGAGGGAATCCGGGCCAGCGGCACGAAAACGATTGAGGGCTGTGATCGCGTTTCGGACCTCGGCCTCCGACGGAGGCTCTAAACTAACCGTCCATAGCACGTCCTGCATCACCTGAGTAGGAAGAGGTCTGGGAGCAGGGGCCCAGCTGAACTGATCATCAAAGTGTTCGGCCCAACGAAGCGTCGTAACAATGTGCCGTACGGGCATTAGCAATACAGATAGTAACTTCTCCCGCATTCACCACAAGTGGTGAGATAAGAATCGAAATTCGAGTATCGAGGACAAGAATGCTGAGATTAGAGAGCGAGCAGATATAAATCTGCTGCTCCATAGTAGGTGGATCGAGTACATACGAGGAACCACATCGCTGATTCTTGCGCGGTGGTGGCTATTGCAGCTGCACTACATCTTATTATGGTGCTTTATGTTCCCTATACCTGTAGTCAGCAAAGTGGACGTCAAGGAATCAGATTCCGACACCGATTTCGCCTTGACTAGCGTCTCCGGCAACCTGTTCCAGTGTTTCACTACGCGACTCTTGAAGTATGAAGGTTGAGCGATGCAATTTAAATCCGGTCCTACTGGTTTGTACTGGTATCTGTGTGTGCTGTTTGGTGCGCGAACGTGCAGCAGCGGTCTCAACATGGTGAAGTGGCCCACGTGCAGTATCCGGTGCGTCATACTGAAAGCAACTCGAAGCCGATAATATGACAGGGTCTCCTACATCGGTCCTCGTACGACATGCCCCGTAAACTGGGGATGAGCCGGGTAGCTACATGCTGGACCGGTTCCAGTTTCTGCACCCCACCTATTGTGATTGGATAATAGGCGGGTAATAACAGCGCTGTTTCAATCTTGTGTGTCGTCAGTGGTGCGTCTTCCATCGGACACTTGCCGAGTTCCGACCCCAATGACTTCCGAATGCCAACAGCTAGTGCCACTATGCATCAGTAGTACGCCGGTAATCATGCCGAAGCTGCGTCGCCACCGGTCGACCATCACCACCACTAGTCGCATGCGTGTGTGCTAGGAATACTGTGACATCGCTCTCACCTACGCAGATTCGAACCATTGACACGAGAAGTAAAATTCGGACACATGAACCACTGGGTCACCGGCTTGTTGCACTCTAAAGAGGTGAGGTACGTGCAAAGCGTACAGTGCTGTGCGTTAGCCTAATAGGCGGTGCCTGTTGGGTATACGTACCATAAACTTGACTATTGATCATGTAACAGAACCTCTACTGCAGAAGCGGGGAGGAGTAGAAGTTAGATATGAATCGATCTAATTAGAAAGATGAAGAGAAGTGTAGTAACAGGGGATAGCATGATACAACCTGTATGTTATCGTGCGGATTCGGGGGACAATTTCCTGTATACCATTATGCAGACCCTGGACTCGTGGTATAAGGATGTTGGAACAGAATGGAAGTTCTCAAGCGTACCCAGCAAAGTTAAGTATAGACACAGGTAGTTGCGGTCAGTCGAATCAGATGCAGCTTCTAAATCAAGAAACGTTAACAACGATGTCCAGTCAAGATCGTTGTTCAGAATTTTCTCGCGGTATCAATGGCGAGCAGGTGACTGGTGGTGATCGATGTGTAGTAGCGAAGTATCAATGCGGTGCACCGGTATACTTCCGAGTCAGTTTCCTTCGTTTAAAAGTTTGCCTACACTATTTTGATTCAAATTAAGACAGCATAGGAATTATCAGGTCAAGATATATGCAACATCAATACTCGATGTCTTGGTTAAGGGTGTTGCCAGAAGAAGAAACTTGTACCGGCTCCGGGAAAATATGAAACAGCTGACGGAACCATAATATTCACTTTTACAGTTCAAGGTAAGCCAATAATTCATCCACCGAAGGGCTTGATAACCGTTGAAAATGCCAGTTGCAGATGGATTCCATTTCCAGTAATGGCAGAGATGGAGAAAAGGTAAGAGAGGCAACGGCAGTACCCCAGTACGTCGTACTGATGATTCAAAGCCACGCGTCGACCACTGCAAATCATGTGCGGGCTAGGGATGCCCTGAGTTCATTGCACCCATGCAGTCTCGAGCCGGCGATCAGCGGATTACAAGCCAGACGCCCAAGCCACTCTGTCACTGTTTGGACACAAGCGAAGATAGGTTTAGCGAAGTAAACGCTTAAACGAGATAAGCGTAGATTTCTGTAAACTTTTGCAGGCGCTCCGTTTGCACACCAATTAAAGGAACCCAAAAGAAATAAACAGGTGCCAGATATGAGGGCATCTAAGTCCAATAAAACTAGAAAGCACAAAAATGACTAAAACATAAGGCAAGAACGAAAACAGAATCAAGGAGATACTTACGCAGATCATCTATTCGAAAGCCGAATTCATCGAAATATCGCCTGTGAGGCAGTTGTTCGTCACAAGTGTCTACATTGTCTTCAGCCAATGAATCCTCATCGTGGTATACGGAGGATGGTTTCAAAGAGGGCACAAGGGCCGAAAAAGAATTTATTCGCCTTAACAACTCTGCGCAATGATGTGTCTCAAAGTCCCCATTAGGAGGAGGAGAAGCATTTGTGATTGGCTGCCGTGATTCATGCAGCAAGTCTGCCATGAAAGATGCTAAAAGAAGAAGGATAGAAGATAACATTCAAAATGATGGGAAAATGAACGCAAGAAAAGAAGTATGACTGCCGAGATAATCCAAAAAAAGCATGTATAAACAGTACACAGAGATGCCTGAAGCTAATGTCTCGCTGTTACACAACCACAAGTGGTTGCAAGGAGATTGGGACAGTGCAAGATCATTAACCTTCTGCGGAAAATGGAGAGAGAGCCCGCGTCGTGGAGACGGCAGGTTAACTAACGGGACAGCTACACCGCGGATAACCGAAACAAAGAAGCAGGCGATTTTGAGAGCGTAAGGGCATCTGCCAGACAAATTGGAGCAAACGTTCAGTTCACTTCAGTTGGACAACCATGAGTCGAATACCGAAGTGCGGTGGATCCAGTTGTCATGACTCATGTCGCTTGAATAACAATAAATAATCACTGTAGGAAAATGAAGTTGAACGCAAACAGAGCACAGGGAAAATGGAATCAAGAAATAAGCGCGTTAAACAAATTACGTTGGAATGTAAATAATCATTCATTATACACATCAGCAAGAGGTGGGAAAACACCTCCGCTATTGTGCCGCAATACATGAAGGAAATACATACATACATGGTTGGCGGCATCCGGTTTCGGATTTGCCTGTCACTGTGGCAAGCCACAGGACGCCTGCGCCTACAGAGGGACCATGGGTGGCTTGCGCTGCACCACCCACAGCTCCAACCACACACCCCATATCCAGTGTAAACCCGAAGGAATAAGACCGGGAGGCATGTGGATGGGAACCACGTTTCATCAACGGAGCCGGCCCACACTCCTTCACAGGCAAACACAAGTACACTGTATTTGGGGAATCAAGCGCACACAAGGCGGTGGCTGGACCGTAGTCCGCTCCACACTGAGTGCATGGAACCACTCTTCGAGCCTAGCACGGCCACAAGGACCGTGCACCCCGTCCCCCCCAGTAACGACCAACTGTCTCCTGGAGCCAGTATGGACGAGGTAGTGGGTAAAAGACAGGTAGGCACCTTGTCAACATGCACATCAAGCGCAGCCACAACGGGGATAGCACGCAACAGCCAATCACTTGAAACGACAAAATGAAATAACATAAATCCAATAATGCATACAGATACGGTGGCATAACTCTTCGCTAAGTTAGCATATGAAGTAAGTTGGTTAGCAATGAATCCGTGATAAGGAAAAAATGTCCACAAGTTACTCAAAAATGCTACAAACGCAACAAAATTACCGAAAATAAGCGCAATTAGCGTAAGCGACGTGGCCAGCTATTAGAAGACTATTCAGATAGGCAAAACTAACCAAATAAACTAAAATGAAATTTATGCAGCTTAAAGAGACATATAATAAAATACACAAAGGAAAAATACATACAACAGTTGCATGTCAGCTGAGCTACCAGCAACGAATAGGCATCGTTCCGGTAAGCTACCAACCGGCTACTAGGCAAAAAGAGAAAAATTATTGTTTTACCCTAAGAAATGAGATCGTAGATGGAGGGGGAGGCTAAAAGAGATGGGGAGGGACAAAGAAACTCACAGCACAAACGCCAGTGAGGTCGGCTCCTTGCCATGTCAGCAAGTGTATCCAGCCAAACGTGTTCATCGTCTTTTGGACCCCAACCAGGGAGCCGTGACGCTCCAACCGAGGCTAGCTCCGAAGTGAGGGACTTCATTCCCCTGGACCAAGTAATCGCTTGGCCACCTCTCCTCTTCTTCCACCCACATCCCCGGTGAGCAAACAACGCACGTCGAGGGAGTCGGCGGGCTGGCATGCGTAACACATGGCCGAGCCTTCGGAGCCTGGTGCGGGAAATAACGGTGCTGAGCGGTTCAGATCCTTTTCCTGGACGGTAAACAATGCGTCGAACACGCTCACTACTCACGCAGTGTTCCCACCAGATGTGAGCCAAACTGCGAAGGCACCGATGTTCGAACGTAACTAGCCTCTTCATGTCCGCCGATTTTAGGGACCAGGTTTCGCAACCGTACAGTAAGGTCGAACGTACCGCTGCATTGGACACTCTACCCTTCAGGGCGAGAGTGATGTCGCGCCGCCGCCATAAATGGCGAAGGTTAGTAAAAGCACTTCGAGCTTTCACTATACGGTTCGTGATCTCGTCTTCGATCTCAAGGACGCTGATACAACTTCCCAGGTAATTGAATTTCTGAACGACTTCTAGCTGATCCCCACCAAGGGTCAGCGCAGGAGGCGATCCCTGCCAATCTTGGAGGAACGCTTTACACTTCGATGGTGCAAAGCAAAGCCCGAAGCGGCTAACAGCCAGTGCTAATCTGTCCAGCACGGCTTGGCACGTCTGGGAGCTGTCACAGATGAGGGCAATGTCGTCTGCATACTCCAAATCAAGAATTCGGTCTCCTGGGAGTAGCTCCACACCTTCCAAGTCGTGTCCTGTAAATGCAAACTCCATGACTTCGTCAATAGCGAAGTTGAAGAGGAAAGGTGACAACAAGCATCCTTGTCTCACACCGCTGCAGATATTGAAGGGTGGCGACAGCTTGCCGTAAGCCCTCACTCTGCCCTTGCTACGCGTATATAATGCTTGGAAAATATTTACATATTTCTCGGGCACACCTTTCCTGAGTAAACAATTCCAAAGGGCACATCGATCAACCGTATCGAAGGCACCTTTGATATCGAGGAACACGACAATGGTAGGCCGCCAATATGTGTGGCGGTGCTCCAACAACTGACGCAACGTGAAGATGTGGTCGATGCAGCCACGACGAAACCCGGCTTGCTCCTCACGAATCTGGCTTTCACGAGCGCCAGTCAGTCTGTGAAGAATTATGGAGGCGATGGAGATCAGACTGATTCATCTATGGTTGCCGCATTCCGAGCGCGAGCCGCCTTTGAAGATGGGAACAATAATGGAGCGGCTCCAGTCGGTTGGGACAGTCTCTTGCTCCCACAGTTTCACTAGGAATTCATGTAAAGCATCAACAAGAGCAGAGCCTCCGAATATGAAGAGGGCTGGAGGAAGATCATCTGGTCTCGCGGCTTTGTTCAACTTCAACAGTCCGATCTCACGTTCAACTTCTGAGCAAGAGGGTGGATCTAAAGGGACAGCCCACGGAGCAGGGCGATCAGCGACCGGCGGATCGGACAATTCTAGCCGATTAAATTGCTTTTCAAAATGCTCAGCCCAACGCTCCAAACGTTTTGACAAATTGTGGATAGGCTGTCCACTCTCATCACAAATTGTTTCACTAACACCAGGTCTCCTGCTGACCGTTTCCCGTATCAGACGAAATAATTTACGATGGTTGCCAAGGGCAGCGGCAACTTCCATCTCTGACGCACGATGAGACCACCAAAATTCGCGGTGTCTCTTCAGGCTAGCGCGGAGTTTTGCCCGGAGCTCTTTGCGAGTTTCATCGTGCTCGCTTCCAGCCGGGATATGCCGGCGAGCGTCGATAAATTCCAGAGACCGAATGTCCATGTTGGCTTTTAGACATACCACATGAGGATTTTCCTGCTGCTAGTAAGGTCTGGCAAACATGTGACCAGTGACCATCAATTGTCACCAGTGAGCAATTAATCAACTCGCATGTCAGCCTACTTCGACACGCATTCAGAACAGCTGGCTTTGTCAGTTGGCTGGTGTCAATGCGCTCACAGCGTGGTCGTGGGCGTCCGCCAAAGCGCATCCGCATGTCAGCACATACAAGTGCATGATCGGTGTCCACACATGTGCTCCAAATCGAGTGACAATTCTGGATGCAGCCTCTCCTTCGGTAACTAATAGCAATGTGATCGATTTACGTCCAAGGCTGGTGGGCGCTAAGTCACCCTCCGGCGGGTGTTGTGTCGGAAATTAGTGCTTGCAAGAAATAAGCGAGCATCTTCACACAAATGAAGTAACCGCTCACCGTTATCATTACGGGAGCCTACACTGTGCTGACCGCCCAGATGCAGTTCATCAGTGGACAACTTTCCAACTTGTGCGTTCATATCCCCCGCCAGCATAACAGTGTCCGTGCTTCTTCTGTGGCGAAGGAGCTGAGTCAGTTGGTGGTAGAAGTCGTTCTTTACCGAATCATCGCTACAGTTTGTGGGCGCGTAGGCAGCGATGATGAATAGACACCTATTAGTCCCGCGCGACTTCGAAGCTTTAAACGTGTCAGCCAATCGGACCGTACACATCCGGCTACTGATTGGAATCCAATCAACCAGAGCAGCTTCAGCCCAGGGACTCAGGGCAATGCCAACACCAGCTTGGCCGGTGCTCGAAGCTGCATCATCACCGCATAGGCGCAAGGAGAAAATACTGTTTGCGTCACCTGAAGGGGATCGCAGAGTGAGCACAGAGCTCGAGTCTTGCAAGCGGGTCTCTGATAAGCAGCAGGTATCGATCGAGAGGGTCTCCAATGTTCGGGCAAGTGTTGCCTGTTGACCGATCTGTAGTAGTGTGCGTACATTAAGGCATGCCAATCTGAAGGAGGATCGAGGGCTCCAAATGGAAGCCGATGAACTGGGATGGACCGCTTGGTTGGACATGGGCTTGTCGACAGGAGAGGAGTGACGCTCGACGTTCACATGTGAGTTGAAATTAGAAGATAAATGCCTAGCAAAGCATGTTAGGGGAGGGCCAAGAATCGGGGGTTGAAAACTGGGGGGATATAAGTGAAGTTGGAAGGGGACGGTAAGAGTGAAAAAGCGTGAGAGGGGGAATAAGAAGACGGGAAGGCTTGAGCAGTAGCATCCAAACCCCTATCCACCCTGCTCGATGCAGCAGATAGGGCACCGTTGATTATCCTCTGCGGTGGCCAGAGCATCAGAAATTTGTTTGAGGTAAGATTCATGGCATTGCGTGGGCAGGATACTGTCAGGTTGCCCAGGCCTAGACAGGAGAACGATTAGGGTTCTCAACCAAAGTCTTTGGTTCAAAAACCTGACCGCAAGGCAGCGGGTTTGGCGTTGGGCTACAAGGAGTCTGTTTTAAGGAATAAGGTGCCACCCTCATTC